CATAATTTTTTGCCCCACTTGGATCTAAAGTAATTTAATCTCTTCAATGTAATTTCAGAAATCAAATCTTAAATTCTTCTATTTTTCCAATGCAACTTCAAAAATTCAATTCTTAAGTAGTTCTCTTCAATGCAACTTTAGATTTTGAATTTTAAGTTCTGTGACATAAACTTATTCTTCGAATTTTAATAATTCAACACAAGATTCAACGCCCAAATCTATTCTGTTCAAATTTGAAACATGACTTTCAAATATCATAAAGAACAAACCACAATAATCAAACTGTCAAAACAAAAATAAATATAACAACCCATTTAATAATTAAGAAAAACAAGAGAAACCCTAAGCACAAAGAAGAAGAAAACAACAATGAAAAAGAAGAGAAAAGTGTATATATATTTGTTAAAAATTAAGTATCAGTTAAATCTTTTTTTTAAAAAAATTAGTACAAATTTAATGTTTGGCGAAAAACTGAACGCCACATAAATTTTTTACAACAATAGTATACTAAATTAATTGTGCTGCATATGAACCCATTACTAAGATTTATTATTTGTGATTTGCTTTAGGATTTTGTAGGAACTTGAAAATACTTTTAAAGTATATATTTTCTTTCTACTAAGGAGTTTCAACCATTTATGTATGAAAAAAGATTATTTTTACCTTATGTAGTATTTGATAGTTAAATAGATTCTTCCTTTGATCATATTTTTAAATAGTAACTATTATAGCTGTAATAAGTTTTGCATAATGCTTAACATGTAAATTTTATTTTTTTTGTAAAATTAAAAAAATAATATTGATTCATGCGATCATGCCAAAAATTAAATAATTTACCTCATATTCTAAATCTTAGCGCATAAAATGGAGCTGAGGGAGTAGAATAGAAAATCGTAAAAGAGGTTAGCTCCGTATTCAGTGCACCCAACGGTTTCAACCTTTTAGAGTCAAATAGTAGCAAATAAAATATTACCAACAATGATGAGTTGTATGATCATATGCTCCCTTCTCTTCTTGAGATTCTGATTTGTTTGTTCTTTTCCCAGTCATTCGTTGTTAAAGACCTAAATTAAGGAAGTGACAAAGCTGACAATTAAGTATTCAAACTGGTACGTAATCATACTTGTGTGTTCTTTATTTAAATTTAAGTTAAAAGACGTAAAAGAATGGCAACTACGAGCACGTGGCAACTTTTCATGCTAAATAATCACGTCCACGTGTTGGAGCAAAGCACACGTGGCTGGGTTTTGAGCAGTTAATCACACTTAATTTAATAGCTAACTACTCGTTTTTCATGCACTAAACTCCAAAAGCGAAAAGGTTAACTTCGAGGGTTGTATGTTACGTAAGATTATCTGTCTGTCTATACTTACAAATGCTAAATTAATGTTTCTTTATTGGACAAACGTACAGCGTTGCAGAATTCCAGTATTTACCCGCCAAGACAAAAATGCTTTATATTCGGGGATATTGTAAACCTACGGCTACGAATGTATATTAATTTTTCACATAATTGACGAGATAGAGAATTTTGTTTCCTGGTGATCAGAATGTAAAAAGGAGAGAGTTCAGTACTGCCGAAAGATTAAGGTATCGTTTAGTTTATCGTATAAAATTTTAGGAGAGTTCATAAATTATTTGGATGATCATACACAAAAAGAGTAATTAGCTAGTGGTGTAACTTTTCTGTTGGCCTTATAAACTTCGCATTACTAATAAATTACTATATATGTTGGAACATGTCAAAATATTATGCGAGAAGATTCAACAATAAGAGCTTATAAATTAGAGTAGCTAAAATTCTAAAAACAAAAATCCAGAGTAAACTAAACAATCCAGGAATAATAAATGCGAGCATAACAATCAAAGTAAACAATCCACGTTGTTATTCGCTGCTTAAATAATTCGCTCGTAATTATAAGTACGTAAACCAATGAACCCCTTCATTGTAGGCTGCTTCTCAAATCCAAGGCTCTCCGGTCTGGCTTCATAACACTAATTCTTTCTAGTGATTTACGATATAATGTTTTATTTTTTTTGAAATAATTCTCTTAATCTATTTATTAATGATAAAAAATTATCTAGTGATTTACGACATAAAGTTCTTTGTATACGAAGATGTCAGTTTTGCTACGTTCAAAGGAGGAGATACAAAATAATTTCCTCAAAAGAAACACATTTACTGTTACAAAAGCAATGTCCATATAAAAATAAACCTCTATCCCAATGATAACTTGGAATATCAGGATTATCATTGTGTATCCCTAATGACAGCATACTTCATAGGTGCCGTCAGCTGTTAATGATTTCTATTGGTTTAGGATTTAGCTTTCAAGTTTCAACCTCTTTGTTCATAAAATTAATAAAAGTACATTTCAAATTATAACTTTTTATTAATAATAAATAAGTGAACAAAATTAAAATAAGGAAGAAAACCGTAATTCGTCAACCACAAAAGAAGTCAGTTTTATAAAACTAAACATGAAGAGAGGTATCTGAAATTATCTCTAAAGAACGAGTATATAATAGGCGTTTGGATGATATTCGAGTTGAAAATTTTCTCCTACACGTTTAGATTATATTTGTCCATGAGACTTTCTAAAAAAAGAGTTAATGAAGATTTGTGAAAGATTATTTTTTGGCTCAAATACATACTTGCAAATATTGAAATTAAATAACTTCACGTACTAAGCTAATAATTATGTCTATTATTTCAACTGTCATAATAGCTTTTATTCAAAATTTTAACTTTAAATACTTATTATATATAGTATGCATGCAACATACTTGATCGTACAAAATATTATTGATCTAAATTTATACATATAATTAAATATATTAACCAAAAAGTATATTCATTATATTAGTTATATTCAAAGTGATTATTGAAGAAAATTATGGAAGAAGAATTTGTATTTTTCTACTTCCGAAGCGCGATAAATTACAATTTGAGGCTTTTAAGTTTAAGGAAAAGAATTTGAAAAAGAATAAAATTAAGTAAGTTGACTATTATATATTAAAACTAAACTATATTTGAATTCAAAAAAGGATAAAAGTAAAAAGTGAAGTAGTTTGCTGTATTAAGTACAAACTAGTTGAATTCAAAAGAAAGTAAAATAAAAAGAAGAGGAGAAAGTGGTGAAAATGGATTTTGAACCCAGGACCTCTAGCAAATCTGGAAACTCAAGTGCCCTACAAAACCACTCCTCCAATTCGCCTCTTTGTGTCTTAAAGCACAAGAAAAATATTTAAGGAATCCCAAATATATGCAGAGATATATATACAAAATTTTTGCTAAGGCTAACGGGTTGCGTGACCCCTCAACCATCAACGTAGGTCCGCGTATGATAATTTTAACCATTGAGTCAAGGTGTTGTAAATTTGGCTCTAGTTTCATGCTCTGCTTTTCCAACTGACAAATAAGGTTGGTTGAGTAAATGCATCAGACGTGCAGTAAATTCCATTCCTATGGTTAATTTACTATTCTCAGAAAACAAACCCGCGCTGCTGGTTTAATTAATACAACCTTCCAAATTCGTTTTCCTTTTTACAGTTTTTATTACTCAATCGATAATTATCTCTACCTAATACTTTGGCTGATTAATTAGCCAAAACAGAAGTAGCACTGTTTGTACTTAGGACACTGCAATCAGCACAATATATATTGAAAAAATAATACTCCCTAAACCTAACTCAACTTCAAAAATTAATTATAAAGTAAATTTTATTCACAACATTGGATAAATAATAAGAGGAATAGATCTTAAAAAGTAACTCATAATTAAATGAATATTATTCAATATTACGAAAGATGAGAACTGCCTATGCCCTCAACCAATGTACACAGCTATTATTTTCTATAGTTGTTTAATGCCGACTTCACCCCATACTCCCCCAACCGAGAGTTTAGTCAAACTAACAGTATAACTAGTAGGTCTTCTGTATCAATTTAATGTCAGTAGATGGGACACCTTGTAATTAAACGATGACAGTAATTAATCGCCTAATTGACCCTACTAGACCATGGAATCCAAAATGATTAAATTCAATTCATCAGTCCCTTTTTTAAGTACAGTTAGATTGGAGGAATTAATTAGTTAAAAAAGTATAATCATTTAAATTAATTTGGAACATATCAGGTGAAGTATTTTGCTTATAGTATGCTAACTTTGTATTCCTCTAACTTAAACATTAGATTACTTAAGTAAGTAGCATTATCCAAAATGAGAAGACGACAAAAGTATTGCCATAAGCAATTAACTGAGCAGTGGTATTTATGACACACATGACACCAAGTCTAAAACTAGCAAGTGGGGGGTGGGGTCAGCTGCAGCTGCAGGTTAACCATAGATTAGATTAGGAACCAAGGTCAAAATACACTAGTGGTTAAGAAGGACAACCACAAAATCAAGATTTTTATTACAAGATTTTGCACTTCAGTCCCTGAATTGTTGATAAACTTATTTTTGTCCTTATAATATCTGATCGCACACTTCTAACCTTCAACTAACATGTATATATGATATGCTACTTGTCAATCTTCCGAAATTTCGTTACTTATTACCTACTATATAAGTAATGTGCAATTTCTAAACGTTTTATTTTAGCTTGTCCTTAAAAAAATATTATCTTTTTTATATAAAAATAATTTAACTTTATAATCTCCTTTTACTCTTAATAAAATAATTTTTTACTACACAAATATCTAAGATTAATTTTAGAACATAAAGTTCAAAATCTTTTTTTTTTGTTAATAGCTAATCATACAAGCTACTAGCCCTACGATAGAGGAGCAAAATTCTCTAAAATGTCAATATCACATTACCACTTAAATTGAGATAGATTAGATGGAATATAAATATAACATAAATTCTATCTAAAGGTCGAAAAACATCCAATTAATGAGTTCAAGTTTAGCTCTATCTATCTAAATATGAGAGGGACCCAAAATAATAGTGTACCAATAGTTGAGGGATCAAAAGAAGAAAGATCCCATCTTATTATCTACGGTCATCACTAGTCATCCCTCATCATCATCATCTTCATCAACACAAAACCAAAAACAAACCCTTCATTTCTTTTTCATCCCCTCACTTCTCTCTTTACTAAAGCTTCTTCTTTTCTTCCTACCCTATTAACCTTTTTCCCATACGAATAAAGATGCTTCTTTTTTGTATGAAATCTTGACCCTAAATCTAATCATCAACTCTTAAGAGAAAAAGAAAGAGTTAGATGTTTTTCAGCCATGGACTTAACCAATAACACTTCTACTACTACTACTACTACTCCTACACTCACCAACACAACCACCATTACTACTACATCAGCTCATATCAAAACCCCAGAAGCTGAAATTGAAACCCCAACTCAGATCCAAAAACCTAAGCCTTTCTCTTTCAGTAATGGTGTCCTTAAACGCAAAAATCTCTTCCAACATCATCATCCTGTTGTCGTTATTTACAAAGAATGTCTCAAGAATCATGCTGCTAGCTTAGGTGGCCATGCGGTTGATGGCTGTGGAGAATTTATGCCTTCTCCTACTGCTAACCCAGCTGACCCAACATCTCTTAAATGCGCCGCTTGTGGCTGTCACCGGAATTTCCACCGCCGTGAGCCGGAAGAACCCGTCGTCATCCCACCACCACCTATCGCCACCGCAGCTCTTGAGTACCAACCTCACCACCGTCACCATCCTCCTCCACCACCTCCGCCGCTTCCTCGTGGGGACCACAGCAGCCCGAATTCTCCATCTCCACCGCCGATTTCTTCAGCTTATTACCCGGCTTCTGCACCTCACATGCTCTTAGCCTTGAGTGCTGGCTTTTCTGGCGAAAAAAATCATAACCCCATATCAAGCCCGGTGGTAAATACTACTAACTCTAACGGGAGAAAGCGTTTCAGGACGAAGTTCACTCCGGATCAGAAGGTGAAAATGCTGGAATTTGCAGAAAGAGTTGGGTGGAAAATGCAGAAGCGAGATGAAGATCTGGTGAGAAGTTTCTGCAACGAAATTGGAGTTGAAAAGGGTGTTTTAAAAGTATGGATGCACAATAACAAGAATACTTTTGGGAAGAAATTAGATCAACACCACCTCGCCGACATCAACATCAACAACAATGGTAACAGTACTAACGTCGTTAATGGTTTTTGTATTGTTAGTAGAAATAACAACAGTCATCATCATAACAGCACCGACTCAGCAGAATTTCACCTTCACCATCACGAAAGCAGCAATGACGACAACAAGATTATTGACCATATTAAAAGTGTTAGTACTGCTAATGTTGTTGTCGGTACTAATGGGTCTTCTTCTTCGTCTTGATCTTAGATGGAATATGAGTGAAAAATGGATAAATAAGGTTTTAATTAGAATTAGTGCAAGGAAGAGAGAATCTTTGAGGCTGGTACTAGCTATTATTAGTCACGTTTATTTGTTTTTTAGAACTGTTTTTTTTTCTTTGTTCAGTAATCAGTGCTCAGCTTATGAAGATAACAATGGTAACTAAGATTGTTCCAACGAGCAAATTAATTTGTTAATTTTTCCTTTTGATTCCTGCCTTTGTAAATTATGCTACGTACTTTTATATCTTACTGTACTTAATTTATTCAAACACGTTCTTTGTGGAGTATTAATCTTCGCTTACCCTCTTCTACCATTTTTGCTTTTGTCTGATGAGCATTTATTCCTTTTCCTTCTGTTTTTTTTTCTTTCTGTTGTTTGCTTTAAGTTACAAATTTGCATGTCTGCAATTAGATACTGTATTTGTTTCTGTGGCTATTTGTCAGAGAAAAGAGAGAGGAATGCAGGGTAGGGACTATGGACCTGGGGTAGAGGGGAGTGTTCATTTTGATTCTTGTCTGTGATTAAGAAGCACAAAGTGCATAACATGCATTTAGGGCGAATACCGATAATAATTTAATGATCAGTGTAGCTTTACTTTGGTGTTTGACACAATTACAGTGCTTACACTTCATGATTAAATTTTACACTATCAATATAATTTTGTATGTTATTACAAGTTACCTATGTTTTTTTATTTTTCAAGTTATGGCGTATAAGTTTATTATTGTATCTAATTAACAAAGTCAGTGCACATAATTTACTCTTCTTTGTCTAGATTTCTGGAGGTCTGTTTTATACTCTATTATCCAACATGGAAAAAGGGTAGTCTTCACAGTATAGGATGTGTCGGTTCCTCTTATTGTATATCTCTAATTAATGATTTCCTCGTATAACCACTTGTTGACTTAATTGTAAATATAACTAATCGTACTACTAATATTTTAATGGTGGGTAGTACTTTTAACAGGTCTAATAAGCTAAATCCGTGCATTATATCGAGTTTACCTTTTTAAGAATTTTGGGGTTATGTGCAAGTGTAGTTTGGTGGGTTGATGCAGACAAAACACTAGCCTCAAAGATAGTCTTAAAGGAATATATATGCTAAGAAGACAATTAAACTCTACCTATAGGGATAAGAATTTAAATCTCAAAATTGACAAAATTCATTTATGATTCTTTTCCCTTTTATCTACCTAACTAATTTTGGTGACAAATTCTATGCTAATGAAAAGTAGTATAAAAAGAAAATAATTTAACTCTGGTTAGAAAGGGAGGAACAAAATATTTAACTTTCCTTGTAAGGAAGACAGAAAAGAGAAGTTTTGGAGCAACAATAAAGTTATTTTCTATAACGTATAATAAGGCACGAGTTCAAGTCGGTGGCCCTTTTATATTAAGGGAGGTGGTGTAGTTGTAGTTAGTCGAATATTATTAGGAGGTGACATAAGAATACGGCCGCGCCATCACGTAGACTGTAGCACAAGGTGGGTGGTTTCGTTTAGGTTCTGTTTCTGAGGGTAATTTAATAAAGTCAGTAATCTTGTTTTCTCGAAATGTGAGATTAGGGAGATTGAGATTCAACAACCTAAAGGTATGGGGGCAATGGGTCAGTTGGCCCTTTCATAAATGCTGGAGGAGAAGGTTGGGTATAGCTGTCCTGTCTGGGATTTACATAATTGACTGTTTCCTTTATTCGGTAGAATTAAAATCATGATTGATTACAGGCCTTGATCCAAACTCATGAGTGTCAAAACGTAATAATCCTCCATGCCTAAACACCACATGTAAACTTGTTTCAAGTCTTTTCAATTTGGTTAGGATTGGAAGTTGTCCTATCATAATACAAATAGAAGTCCCTCCAAATTATTAGTTTAAGAACAAAATACAAATGAAAATAAAGAATCTAATTAGGTATGGAAATTCACGAAACCAGTACAATTTCAAAAGTCCAATTGGCCGAGACGGAGCTAGAAGTTACGGATTCGGCGTGTTAAAAAATTTATTAAATATATTCAAATATTAAATTTAGCTAGCGTTTGATCATAGATTCTAAATTTGTTTTGAAAAATCTAATTTGGGTGAAGTTTGGTTTGAAGATGAAAATGTGATTGAACATCGGTCACTTATTATGGATATGAGGAAGTATTATTTTAAAATTCAGAACCTATAAAGTTGAAATCTCTGCTTCCCTGCTTCTCCCAATATGAAAATTTTCCAAGATATGCAAGGCTTCGCCGCACAAGTATCGCACAGCTCAATTCAGGAACAGCAGAAAACGCCTTTCATTTTTTAACTCTTTGTCGGCATTTTCCGCCTGTAATAACAAGCTCTTGAGCCTTCTTATCGACTTCCATTTTAGTTAAGTACTTTTGTTACATAGAAGAAATTACCAATAAGGAATTTAAGGATACTTTTTTTAAATCATATAGTCGAAGAATTCAAAAATTACTACATCGTTCCGGTCTGAAGGGAAGAAAAGTGGTGGATGGAAATGATCATAATTAGGAGATGAGTTGTCTTGATGTTAAAACAATACTCCCTCCGTCTCGAATTAATAGTAGTTATTTTAGCTTAAAATAAAATATATATATACAAAAACTAAATATCAAAATATTATATTTCCCAAGGTCGTGATGTGGGGTGGGGGGGGGGGTATCTTGATTGTGTTCTTTTAAGGTGTCTCTGCTACTTGTTTAGTATAGGAGTAGGACACGGTGGGGCGTTTTTAGCTTTCAACATGTAGTGTTGTTCAAGTTGAGATGATGCTTATTGTCCTCCCATCCCAAAATATTGGACTTCAGACTTCTCCATCAATTCAATAGAATGGCGTTTTCTTAAAAATAATTCAATAGATAAGTGAACTTAGCACCTATAAAGTACGGCAAATAAATAATTTGTTAAACTAACCCACTATACATGTAAAAGATCTTCACAACGTCAGCTGTTTATATAAGTTGATTATAATGGTCCCAAAAATTAAATTAATCGAAGAAGAAAAAAGGGAACACTGTTCACGTTGATGTAGCATTGGTTGCGTTAAAGTGAGAAACATTACTCATATTCTCGGCCATCATCAGTCGTCCGGGTATTGGTCAAAATCTGACCATCACGACCAGGTCGTCCAACACCCCGCGCCCAGTAACTGTACAATGAAAGCCAATAGAGCCTGTTCCATTTCTCCTCTGCGACATTTTACAAGTCAAAAAGAGTAATGCTTAAAAACAAGACCAGGACACATTGACGACAAGAAAATGTCAAGTCAAGCAATGAGCAAAGGGTTCTGGACTATATATAGCCATAGAATTCTCAACAAGCGGGGGGCTTAGCCATTCTTCAAAAGGGGAGGACAAAAAGCCTCTTCCGGGGATATGAGAAAACAGAGAAAATGATCTCATTAAACCCTGTAAATCTACTTTCTCATGAGTGGGTGAGGAAGACAATGTTTAAACTTAATAAGATCGATCTTATTTCTTTCGTCTCATATGCGTTCATTATCATTAATGTTTCGATATGGAATTAATTGTCTTTGGCTAAAATTTACCCCTTCATCTTTGATTGATTTGTTCAAAAGGATTTTAACTTCTTTTGAATCAAACAATTTGGCACTGTCTGTGGGGATTTCTTAGTGAAAACTCCTAGTTTTTCCCAGATCAAAGCTGAGAAGCACAATCATTCGCCGAAAGAAGCACGAAGGGAGAATTTCACTCACGCGAGACATGGGAACAACACGGTAAGGGAAGAATAGCTGAGTGGGTTTACCAAACCTGGAGTTCCTCGCCCCATCAACTGCAAATCTTCTAAACTAGGCAAACAGTGCTTCAAAACCAGCTAAGCGAAGAAAATCTCACCCACACCTTCCACACTTCGTCAGGGAAAGCACATAAGATCCGCGGGAACGAACGAACACAAGGACATCTTGATTAAAGAACAAAAAGTACTTCAAATACAGCCGAAACCCTCCCTGCCGGCAGCATCTCCGAGCTGAACGGCCGGAGTCAGACAAGAAAACTATAATGCGTGCACAACGTGAGCCTATACGAAACGTTGACGCCACTTGTCCACCAGCGTTGCACCATATGATGCAAGCAATATCAAACAAACTGGGACTCCTACGGAAGATGCCCAACTCTCCAGAAACTGGGACTAACGACGGGCTATTATTTCGACAAGTTCGAAATAACACCCTTCAAGGCCAAAGGCCTTCGCCATCAAAAAAGAAAGGTTCGACCTCGATCGAACGACGAATGGTTGTTATTTCGATAAGTTCGAAATAACACCCTTCAAGGCCAAAGGCCTTCGCCATCAAAAAAGAAAGGTTCGACCTCGATCGAACGACGAATGGTTGTTATTTCGATAAGTTCGAAATAACACCCTTCAAGGCCAAGGGCCTTCGCCATCAAAAAAGAGGGGTCAACTTCGATCGAACGACGACATGCTGTTATTTCGATCAGTTTGAAATAATACCCTTCAAGGCCAAGGGCCTTCGTCATAAATCCTCGATCGAACTACGATGGGCTGTTATTTCGATAAGTTCGAATAACACTCTTAAAGGCGAAGGGCCTTCGCCATCAAAAAAGAAAGGTTCGACCTCGATTGAACGACGACGGACTGTTATTTCGACAAGTTCAAAATAACACCCTTCAAGTCAAAGGGCCTTCGCCATCAAAAATTTCGACCTCGATCGAACGACGACGGGCTGTTATTTCGATAAGTTCAAAATAACATCCTTCAAGGCGAAGGGCCTTCGCAATCAAAAAAGAGAGGTTCAACCTCGATCGAACGCTGACGGGCTGTTATTTTGATAAGTTCGAAATAACACCCTTCAAGGCCAAGGGCCTTTGCCATCAAAAAAGAGGTGTTCGACCTCGATCGAACGACGATGGGCTGTTATTTCGATAAGTTCAAAATAACACCCTTCAAGGCCAAGGGCCTTCGCAATAAAAAAAGAGGGGTCAACCTCGATCGAACAACGACGGGCTATTATTTCGATAATTTGAAATAACACCCTTCAAGGCGAAGGGCCTTCGCCATCAAAAAAGAAAGGTTTGACCTCGATCGAACGACGACGGGCTGTTATTTCGACAAGTTCGAAATAACACCCTTCAAGGCCAAGGGCCTTCGCCATCAAAAAAGAAAGGTTCGACCTCGATTGAACGATGACGGGCTGTTATTTCGATAAGTTCAAAATAACACCCTTCAAGGCGAAGGGCCTTCGCGATCAAAAAAGAAATGTTCGACCTCGATCAAACGCCGACAGGCTATTATTTCGATAAGTTCGAAATAACACTCTTCAA